GGGGACACGGCCGCGCTGCCGATGCGGTGCTGCGACACGCTCAGCGAGTGCACCAGGTTCACGTCCGGCAGCTCGTGCAGGAAGAACACGCCGTTTGAGAAACCTCACAGAAACAAGGAAATAATACATTTATAGGAATATATTTACGAAATTGATACATTCATCAACAAATGCATGTAAATGTTTCCGGTAAACGCCATCAGCTGTCGCTAAAATACGACATCTGTACTAATAATCTAAAAAAGGAAAGATTTGCATTTTTGGATTTTGTATGTATTGAAATAACTAAAAAACTACTGAATTAATTAAAAAATTGTTGCACCATTTAAAAGCTGAGTAACATAGGGTATTTTTTTCACACGCAAGAAACAGCTAGTTTATCAATAAAATATAGACCCTTGTAGCACTGTGACTTGAGTATGGCACCCATGATGCGCGCGGCTTTTACAGCCGTCTCACTCACGCCGGTGCACGCGCGCAGCTATCTCTCTCACTCGGTACTAGTGGAAGAGCGATTAAAACCGAGACACTGGAGTAGAGACACTTCAGTCACGTAATAATTGTTTAGAAATATAATAGATTTTGTTTCAATGAAATAATTTATCTTTACTCAGACATTAGTTGAAACATGACAAAATGCATAGAATTTCCAGATTTCATTTTAAGAATGTAGGGTAGTCATAAAAATTCACCTGTGATTAACATTTTAGTAGCTTTGTGGTACTGAGCAGCGGTAAGCTTCACCTTACAATCGGCACTCCGTATAGCATCTCCTATGTAATGTCTGCCAAGTTTCCTGAACACCAATCTATTTTCCTCCTTTACTTTAATGTCATCTTTTTCACTTTTATCATCATCACTCTGCTATAAAAACCATTAAAAAACAAAATTAAACATTTTAAGTATATTTTACTTTACTTTTTTTAATTAAAAGCTATACTAATATTATAAAGAAAATTTTAAAATTTTTGTGACAAATAAAAACTACCAAAGCAATTTCAAAAATTCTTTCATCATCATCATCACCAGCTCACTGTAAGTCCCCACCGAGGGGCTCGGAGCCTACCCTAAGTAAGGGGTGCTAGGCCATAGTCAACCATGCTGGCCCACTGCGGTTGACTTCACACATATCTTTGAATTTCTTCGCCGACATGTGCAGGTTGCATCACGATGTTTTCTTTCACCGTAAGAACGTCGGGTAAATTACGTACATATGAAAATTCGAAAATCGCATTGGTACACGGCGGGATTCAAACCCAAGACCTATAGATTCTTTAAAAATTCCTAGACCAATAGAAATTATTCAATCACTAAGTATAAAATAAGCTATATTAATGCTATTTTTTCACACAGGAAAGTGGCAAGCAAAAACTAGTTAATAAAAAACTTACATATTCCTTGTCTTTTTCAATAACATTCTTTTCATCAATATCATCTTCACTATCTTCTGCTTTTTGGAACTTCCTTCGTTTTCTGTGTGGTATTTGTACTTCCGATACAATCAAGTCATCTGGGTCTATACTCGCCTCCCACAGACAAACCTGTCCGTTCCTACTTACAGTTATCAAATCTAAACTTTTCTTTTCAAAGAATACACCGACCACTTTATCCGTATGTCCACTTAATGAAAACATGTTAATATTGTCTAAATAATCAACAGTGTAGATCTTCGTCGTCGTATCTTTAGACCCGGCGGCTAATAATTTTGAACACGATGACCAGTCTAAACATGTTACATCGTCATATGCCTTTTGATAGACTCTCTTCATGACAAAGGAACGGAATTCACCCGTGTAACTGGTTGGTGCTGTCATTATGAATACTGAAATTTGATTTGTATTTGTTAATATCTTAAAAAACAGATTGCACTGTTTAAAACATATTTTTATAGACAATGTTGCCAATTGAACTAAAAAGAATGTTATGGTTTAAAAAAAAATATGTGAAAGACATGTAAAGATGAATTGCCTAAAATTATTATAAAAAATTTAAATATGTAAATAGTAGAATTACCTATGTTGAGTGAATACTAAAACGAATTTTAAACTTCACTTTATAAGCATCACTTACAATCTGACAGATTTCAAATGTTAACAGCAAGCACATTCCTTTGACTAAACTATCGCACTGTTGTGCGATTGTCAAATGTTCCACAGCCCATTCAACTGTTTAGTTGGATTACTAAAGATTGAGTAGTATGCGCACCTCCATATAATCCCAGAGCGGCTCAACAGTTGTCCAATAGTTTAGTCCAAGGTGTGTGGGCACTCCTTAATGGAACTTGCAGTTTAAGCTACCTTATCATTTATCTCAGCAATAATTTCAATATTTGACCATAATTTACTATTATTATATACTTGTTATGATATTACCTGTATCGGCACAACAAGCTGCAAAATATTTCCCATCTGGACTAAACTTAACTGCATTGACCTCCTGCTTGAATTTATATTTGTGTATCACTGAACAAGTCACCAGACTTATCATTTGTGCTTCGCCCTCTGAAAAACAGGAGTAATGTTTCTCAATATATTACTACAATCACTGAAAATGGTTAAAGCGTGAAATTGGAATGTTTAAAGCAGGGAGTGAACAGGACCAAAAGGGAAATATTTTATTTTACCCCAGCTATGGCAGGGGAAAGGGAAATAAAAGGCAAAGGGAAACATTACAGAGAAAATTGGGAAATAACTTTTTAAGCAATTTATAAAATATTTAGGGCTTAAGCAACAAAAATTGAAGATAAAGGGTAGCCTGGGTCCATTGTAGGAAAAGTGATGAAAATGGTGGACTTACTTTCATTAATAGCCAATAAAACAGATCCATTTGGTGAGACATCTATAGCAGTGTAATTATAATGACTTTCCACAGGTAACGTGATATTTTTGTTCCTGGAATAGACAAGGTATTTTTATTTTTAAAAGTAACATAGAAGCAAGATAATGTAAGGTTTTGACCTCCATCTATTAAAACAATTTAATAACATAATGGCTTTATGTAACTTTAAACATTGTAGTTTTTGCAAATATAATGTTGCTGCGGGCTAAATATTTAAAAAGACTTTGCCAGTTTTTTACTTACTGTTTTAAATTGTAAACTGTAATCCTGTTCCCCACAGGACTGATGACGCTATTTCCGTCACGACTAAATACCACATCTCCTTTTTTGTAGACAGTCCCCAGTAAGTTTTGAAACTGCAAAATAGGTTATTTTACAAATAAAATCAATTTTGATATACTGATAAATGGCATATTACTTTTATTGTGAACAAATTAATGATTAATAACAGAATAAACAAAACAATGCAGACGTAATACAGCAAATTGATTTAAAAACAAAGTATTCAATTTTTTAACATACTGATAAATTTTATTAAAATTCACAAAATGGATATGCAAATAAATTACATATAAGTTACCTTATAATTATACTTCATTTTGCATTCAATAAAATAATAACTATTCTTTTATATAATTTAAATAAAAAAATTATCTTAGGATCTCTATCGGTTGGAAACATAAACAACGTGAATCCCACATGATATTTGACAGCTGACATTGACAGTCAATGATTAAAGTTGACAGTTTAACTGACAGATTAAAAAAAAACAAGGCCTGATAATGGTAACATTCAATTAATTTCTGAAAGCTCAAAGTATTCTGTGTTTAAACAAAGCTCTCATGTAATAAAACTATGTTTGTTTTGCAATCACATTTAATTAACTGAGAATATTGAATCTCGCAAAAGTTAATTTCCATGCGTAAATACAAAGTTCACGTCTTTGCACCAACGTTTTAAGAACTGTGGCAACTTTATTGATTTTTCAATAAAGCGTCTTTTTAATTATTTTTTACAGAATTAAGGGTATTTACATTATAGTAAACGTATTTGATGAAATAATAAAATTAATTATATTTATTCGAAGTCCCATTATTTAACATTTCCATTTGTTCACCATTAAATATTTGTAAAAAGTCCTTAAACGATCAATCTGCACATGCGCAAAATAAATCTGCTGGCCAGCGATCCACATCAATGTTAGACGTCACGTCGCTGCGAAATCTCTAGCTCGTGATTGGTTGCGTATTTCGGAAGTCACGTAACAAAGCCAATCAGATCTTTGGGCATATCGAGCACTGCCTTGAACATCAATCGTCATATGACCCATTCTATCGAGTCTGCAAAGCTTGGGCCATATTTGTCTGTGCTGAAATAGTTCCGTGGAGTGAGTGTGTGCAGATAGTCATCACAGCTTTTGGGACCTGTAAATACTCCCACACAACACATTCAAGATGTCTTCTGGGCCAACTGCTGAAAGTCCCATCTATGGACCCTTCTTTGGAGTTATGGGGGCGGCGTCCGCTATTATCTTTAGCGGTAAGCAAGAAATATATCTTATTTGTAATGGCTGTCTTGGATCGTTATCGATCTTCAAATTTTGGAACGATATGCTCCATTTATTGATTGCTTGTTTCATTGTTTATTAAAGTAACCAATGTTAAAAAATGTGAAACTGGTTATTTTAGGAGTACTAATTATAGTTACAGCATCACCTTGTTTCTGTCTAGACTATACGTAGATAATTAGTTTGTGTAAAGTATTGATGTTTCGCGACATTCCAGGTATAAAATGTAGCATTTGAGGGCGTTGCTTTTATCATAAAATGTGATTCATTTATCATGTGACTGATAAATATGTTGGTAGCATTGGTTATAATATAAGGGAAAAACCTTTGTCGAAGTGGAATTTCACATCGCTCGCAGTCCAATAGTATGGTTACTTGCCGTCTGAAGTATTTTCGGCCTTATAACGTTAGCGGAATGGTTGAAATTCCTAAGATTTATGTTTTAGCATTGAATGTACCCGTGACCGATCGTGCGCGTATTCAATGAAAGTAAAGTTATCGTTGGACACCAACAAAATGTTGACATGGGCGTGGTAATAACTTAATCGTTATACTACTACAATGTAGTATAGATTTGACCTATATAAAAATCGTGACCTATTTTCTGTCTACGTTTTGAGCACCGGCGGCGCGCTGCTTCAGCAAAAAATCAATAAGTTAAATCACATGATAAGTTATCATGTGACCAGTCAGCTGCTCATCTTTTAACTTAACCTAGTCTATGGTTCAGTTCTTAACTTAAATTACAATTGACACATTAGTAATTGACAAATCATGTGATTAATAAACTGCTTAACATTCTTTTGATTATATCTTGATTATTTTACAAATATACCCACTTGGGCCTATATTACATAATTTTAATTTTTATGAGGATTCTTAAACATAATTGTTTTTTTAACAAGAAACATCTTCAAAGACCATTCATGAAAGTTCATACTAGATTACTTCATGAATGTCTGTATGTTTCTGAATATCAGATACATTACTTGGATCTTTATTATGTCATGACTTAAAGCTTGATATATAAGCTAGCAATTATAAGAAATATGCAACTTTTTCAGAAATCACATGATCAAATGTTCAATTTAAACTGAACTTAATCTTGTGACAGTATGATAGTAATAGAATTCACATGATATTATTAATATGCATTCAAATCAAATTTTAACATACATGGAAACCTTTTTATTCAGTTTTTACACTTATAGTATTTGACTATGAACTCAAATTGAAGTATTTTCAATATTCTCTCACATTTCAACTTATTAGATGAAAAAACATTATCTTTCTTAAAAGATGGATGATTTAAACTAACATCAAGTAAAAGATTGAGCATTTAAATGTTCATTACATAAAAAAGTATGAACATTAATTTATATTCATTAGTACATTCCATTTTATACAGTAAATACTTATGTAAATGAATCTGTCTTCAAAGATTGTAATGGTTATTTCAAAGGGGATATCTTAAGATCATCTAGAATTTGACAAGTACAATTATTAGGTATTCAGGATCTTACAAAAAAACTCTTAAACATTGTTTTGTTATAGAAGTAATAGAAAACATAGTTTATCTTGTAAAGTTGATTGCATAAGGATTATTATATAAAACTCTGACCATATAAATTTAGATATCACTTATTAGCCCTTTCCTTTTGTTAGACTATCAGAACCATGCATGGGAAAACAATTTACAATTCTTATCAAAACATCCCCTTGCCATACCAACAATATTTTCAATTCTATCATAAGTTAAAACAAAAATATTAATTTAATTTCCAGCGCTGGGAGCTGCGTATGGTACCGCCAAGTCGGGTACCGGTATCGCCGCCATGTCGGTGATGCGGCCCGAGCTCATCATGAAGTCCATCATTCCCGTAGTCATGGCGGGTATTATCGCCATCTACGGTCTGGTCGTGGCTGTGCTGATTGCTGGCTCCCTGGAAGCCCCACCCACCTACAGCCTCTTCAGGTAATGCTTCTGAAGCCTAAGTGCAGGTCTAACTTTTCTGGACCTGCCTGTCTTACTAAGTTCATATACTAAGACAAAGATGAATCTATAAATTGTCCAAATATAGACAAAATGCATAGATAAAACATGATTTTTCAATCTTGATACACTAGACATTTTTTAAAAGTCAACCTTCAGAGGTGATAATAGTTTATGGTTAATCATATTTCCTAATATGAGACCTTGCTCCTACAATTGTTACAATGACATTATCCAAGGTTAGAGGAAATTATTGCATTTTAACCTCTTACACAATCAGTGCTACAATAAAGTAAGATTTTTTGCTTCAGATTAGTTTTTGTTTTATTGTTAAAAATAAGTTGGCAGACATGAAATAGTCTTAATTAAATGTTTTGAACTGGTTTTGTAAATCTTATATTATTGATGACAGTAGTTAAACAATCAATCAAATATTGATATTGATAAAAATGAAAAAAGATTACAAATTCCTTGACAAGTTATAAAATAATTGCCACCATTTGATTGATGATTTTAAAAACATTTACAGATACTGTTTTAACCAAATTGCTTTCATTTCAAATATGTCTTTGTTGTACAACATAGTTTAAAATGTGTCTGTTGCAATTGCAGAGGCTTCATCCACCTGGGCGCGGGTCTCGCCGTGGGCTTCTCCGGGCTGGCCGCCGGGTTCGCCATAGGCATCGTGGGTGATGCCGGCGTCCGCGGCACAGCGCAACAGCCCAGGCTATTCGTCGGAATGATCCTTATCCTCATTTTCGCCGAAGTGTTGGGTCTATACGGTCTCATCGTCGCCATCTACTTATACACTAAGCAGTAAATCTGTACGCACCAGCTCCCTCGTGCCGTGGAGTTCTACGCATGGAGAATGTTCTCGACGCGCGCACAGGGACGTCGTCGCCGGTAGCGGGCGTAGCGCTCCACGGCAGCCCATCCTGTATAGTAACCTGATTCACTTCTCCATCTCCTCGCACGTCTCCGGCGTGGCGTCGCCTTGATGCTGCGGCGGCGTCGCGCCTCGAGACCGCGATCTGTATAAATGATTTTTCTATTAAAATTTTTACTATATCGCTTTGAGTCCCAATCATGAGTTTTAAACGCTACCGAGCGATGACGGAGTAATTTATTATTAAGTTATTTATCTGCCAAGTTTTAATTTGTTGTGGAATTATTTCACGGAACCCTCCCTCGCTCCGATTTATATGTTTTGCGCGTTTTGTCCCCCCCTCCCCAAACGAATCAAATTACGTCTGACGATATATATCAATTTTAGATTATTTTAGCGATAAGGCGAAACTAATGTACAGTTAGAGTAGAAAATTAAGTCCAAACAAGTTATCTTAAATAATTTATGAACCGTTGAAGTCCCGGGGTACCGTGTACCGCCATCTCTTACTGAGAATGTTAGACCTGGCTTGTGTATCGCGCTGCGGCTTTCGGTGTTAGTGGGTGTGTTGTATACTGTTATTGTACTGTTACTATCCGCGTTGCTGTTGCTGACTATCAGAGCCGGTCACAAACGATGTATTGCCAGGAATCAGTTAATAAACATGATTTGTACATTCCAGATTATTTTGTTTCTACTTGTTTTGTGTTTTATTTTCCTCTACATTATATAAGCTTCATGACATACCGCAGTCGTTATATATTATATTTAAAACTATTTATATACTATTATAGTAGACTTTCTGATGACTTACTATGTGAAATATATTTCAAAGTATTTTTATTCTGTATACCTCATAGTCGAAATGTTTGAATGATTATAAATTGGTAAAGAAATAGGTGAAATGTATTCTAGGTTTCATGTTAGAGAATGTTATAATAATCTTTGGTGTTATTGAATGAATTGTGTTAATAAAATATTTTAAAATTATTGTAAGTTATCAAGTCTTTCTTCTCACACTTTTTTTGAATGTTTCATTGAATAAGATGGTGACCCCTAAACGGTAAACAAAAAAAAAATGCCTATTAATTACGAATTTTACAAGAAGGTAACTCAATATTTTCATCAGTCATAAAAAGTTCAATGTTCCAACAATGTTTTAAATTGGTATGGAATTCTACGGTGGAAATAAGCACCTGTTGGACAGAGATGGCTTCCGCTGACTCAAATTTGTTGAAAATTTTGCATGCTTCTATCGTGGAAACATCCATTGTAACACTACTCCACTGAAGTCTTAAAAATTGAGGAATAAGTCAGTGAGCATAATAAATGAATTTCAAGGAGCCGTTTAGGCTTCAAACTCTTAACAAACAGCCATCCATCCATCTAAACTTTCGCATTTATGATAGTAAGATTTTTAAAAGCCGTAGAATCGGAATCTGCTACGGCCTAATGGTTTAGGCTAGTTGCTGCCGCAAGCTGGAGAGTTGCTGGAGAGCAGGGCAATTGCCGCAGCATTGGCAACACTGCTTCTTTTACAGATAATAAAAACCAGCTTCTAAACACTGGCACTGCCTTTTTCTCTGTTCGGCGATCGGCGGTTAAAACTTCTTACTTGCCAAATCGACACGTATTCCCTTACACTCAGGAGTTTGTGTTAAAGGGGAAATTGTGTTTGAACAGATAAGTTAACACAAGTTTGATATAAAGTTTTGAAAGTGATCTGCCAAATAGAAAAATATACTACAAGAATAGCTGCGAAATTAGTAGTTATTTTTTCTGTGTTGAAAATAGTGGCCGTACGTAATAAAAATTTTCGATTGATTGATTAGATCACTTATTTCAAAAACATTTGTTTTAAATAAAAAAAACGCACGTTTGATGTCTTCATCAGTGGAGAACTCGATGGAATTATCTGGCGACATTGGCTGGTGTGTACTACAGATTAAAGTGGACTTTGACATTATATTGACATTGACAATTCATTTATCAACCCAATTTAAAAAAAATACATAGTTGGCACTTGGTCATTGGTTTCGTTTTTTCTTTTGTAATTTCAAGAAGTTCTCGAATAAAACTCAAAATGAAATTTAAATATTTATTAATCTTAGCAACAGTCTTGACATACTACAAAAGCGATGCACAAAGCCGTGCAAAAGGAGTAAGTAATGTATAAATTATAATTTCCCGGCGAGGGTCCGACTTATTCTTAATGTTGGTTTAATTTCTTTCAGCTTGAAGAGAAAGTACAACAGTTGACCGATTTAACAGCAAAGAAGTCTATAATATCTTTAAATTACAACCGATTCAAGGATTATGTGAAGGCTCCCCCTAGGGATTATTCATTTATCGTGATGTTCACAGCTATGGCTCCATCTAGACGCTGTGCTATTTGTCAACACGTTTATGATGAATATTTAATCGTCGCTAGCTCATTCCGAATGTCACAAATGAATAATAACAAACTATTCTTCGGTATGGTTGACTTTGACGAGGGGTCCGATATCTTCCAAATGGTAAGGAAGACAATGATAAAAAAAATCGTAATGCAAAAGTTATTTATCTTAACGACAAACATTTCGTATTTTTTTTCAGCTACGTCTAAACACTGCACCAGTAATCATGCATTTCCCAGCAAAGGGTAAACCGAAACCTGCTGACTCTATGGACTTTGAGAGAGCTGGTATTCATGCTGAGGCTATAGCCAAGTGGATACAAGATAGGACTGATGTGCAGGTGTGGACATAGATTTTTTGCAGATAAGATTGTATGGATGTGAATTTAATTGTAACTACCCTTAAGCAATTTTTCCTTGTAGTACTGGTACAGTTAAAATAAGTCCATTGAACAGACATCAATGAGCTTAGGATACATACAAACTTTGATGTACAAAGAAATATTCTTTACTGAAAACAATTTGTTTTTGTTTAATATTACAGATTAGAGTATTCAGGCCACCAAATTACTCAGGTGTGGTAGCAGTGGGGATGCTATTTGCACTAGTAGCTGGATTCCTGTACCTCCGCAGGAACAACCTGGAGTTCCTCTACAACAAGCAGATGTGGGCTGGTGCTGCTTTGGTGTTCTGCTTCACAATGGTCTCTGGCCAGATGTGGAACCAGATCAGAGGACCACCATTCTACCAACGCTCGAAGAATGGTCCAGTTTATATTAATGGTGGTTCCCATGGACAATTTGTGTTGGAAAGTTACATTGTTGCAGCTTTGAGTATCCTTTTTAATGGTTTCTTACTAGCTTTCGCCCGCGACTCTCTTGTGGAATTAAAAAAACTAAGTATCCTATGTGTTCTTCCAGACTATCCTCTACATTGATGCTAAATTTCATTGTGACCCATTTAGCGGTTTAGGCTACAAACTCTAATAACATACATTCACCTAAACTTTCTCATTTATGATATTAATAAGATTAGTAAGATTACCTGTATTGAGGTTCTGTACTTCTGTGTCTTAGACTACCTGTTCCTGTGCGCTTCGTCTGCATGAAGTTATGAAAATTTTATTTCTTTGTTTACATTTGTCAAATTATCAATAGCAAATGTCAATGACATGACAAGACAAACCTTCGCAATCTTGTTTCCATGATGTTGGCAGCAACTTATGCTCTTTCCCACATTAGGGTTTTTATCCAAAATATTTACCCCATAAGTGTAATTGAGTGAAAATATGTAGCCTAAAGTGTGACGTAAGTGTAGGGCTTTTTATTGAAAAAAGAATTGTTCAAAAATATGCTGTAATTGTTGACATCTTATGCAACAAAGAAGTGTGTGTTTACACTTTATTATAATAGTATAGATTGACTATAATGACCTTAACTTAAACTCAGATTGTGCAGTGGTAGTGGGGATGATCGCCATGATAGAAGCCGCAGGGGGTGTGAAAAACCCTGATTTAGTTCGAACTCTAGTTGATGGGAAGAAGAGACGTTTCCAATCTGTTGTAGGACTTATATTGGTTTGTGTGTTCTTCTCTCTACTTCTGTCCGTGTTCAGAGCGAAGACACAAGGATATCCTTACAGGTAAGAAATTAAGTGTTTTTATATTTAGCTTTGGAACATTTTTTATGAAGTAATTATCTCTATATTAGCATAATTATTATGAATAAAGATTGCAATTTTGATATGAAATATTTTTTTTAAGGAATGAGTTAAGTTTTTAATTGAGAATGCATTTTAAGTGACTTTTATACATATTTTATTTATACAAGCACCTTAGTATAGAAGTACCTTAGTTAGTTTATTGCTACTAATAATTTTCCAAAGACTGAATTATTTATTAACACTTGTTTATTTTGTTTCAGTTTCTTATTTAAATAAAAGAAAAATACATTTTATTTATAGTGTGCAATTTCACTAATGTGTTTCTAATAAATATAAGTTAAAATTAATAACTTGTTTTTTTTTATTCCCAACTTTTTTTATAACATAAGGTGGCACGAGCAAGCGGCCACCTGAATCCGCCATAATGGCGAAGCGACCGCTGCCCATAGACATCCGTAATTGCAGATGCGTTACCTACCCTTATCCGATAAAGGAGACGCACAACATAAAGAGGATATTTCCCCTTCCTATCCTTCTCCACCGATAAATTATCTTTCTAACGGTGAAACAATTGTTAAAATCGTCCCAGTAGTTTTGAGCCTATTCATTAATCTTTTTTAAATTTTACGCGGACGGAAACGCGTGAAAAACCGAGTGTAATACAATATAAATCCAGATTTATCGAAAGTGCATTTGGGTTGCTTATAACGGATATAGCATTAAAAAAATTTCATTATCTCTGCAAGTAGCTATTCTTCCGGGTGATCTTCGTAATAGGTGAGCCGATTTTGACAGGACTTTTACTGAAGTATAGCTGTTGCACGCCGGATTGTTATTGACGACTTTATTTTATAATAATTCGTGCTAACGAAGTTTACAGGCGACAGCTCGCATTAAAATAAAACACTAGCTGACTACTGTAATTTATTTATTGTAAATATATTATATATTTATGGACAAAAAACAACCCAGTAAAGTACCTACCATCGATTAACAAAATATACAAAGATAAAAACAAGTTATTCGTTGAAATAAAATGCAAGAAAATTCAAATGCAGTATAATTTTTACAATTCACTTCCGCTTGTTGAGCGAAAAACATAAAAATACATTTCAATTAATACCATAAAATTGGCTTACAGTAAATAAGGGAATATTGCTGCTCTGTTTTTTGGATAATCTTTAAATGTCCTCTTGTACCATTGATGGGCGTGAATCGCGGCCTGAATCTGAAACAAGTTTCGTATTACGTTAATCGACATTATCATAACATTGCATTCTCTCTCACCCTCTTTGAAGAAACAGAGATAGCAATAGTGTCACGCCATTAAAAATTCTCTAGAAAGAGAAAGAGAGAAACTGAAGTATTGAAACTGACCTGATTACAGAAAACCCAAAAACTCATGATGATCATCGTCCTCGTGGGTGTCAGTGTTGCCAACACAATGTACAAAACAATCTCGAATAATCTGTGCGGGCTAGACACGATCTCGAACATTCTGCCGCGAGGTATCCTATGCGCCTCTGTTATTATAGCGCCATTTTTGTCTTTCCGTAAATTCGCCAGTACCACGTTACTGTTATACTGCTCGTATGAAGCCAGTAGAAATAGAAATATGCTAGGGATATATGTTAATTTAGTCCAGTCGTCCACCCATTGCATTTCCCCTTTTTGCTTTCCTGAAATGTAACACCAATACATTTTCGCAGGAGTTTAGGAGCAAAGCATTGTGTTTAAAATTCGCACTTACATCAACGTTTAAGGTTTACGAATAAACCAAAATACCGTTATAAAAATTCTGTTGCTTGTATTCAGTCTCTAACCCTTACCACAGAAGAGCGGCGCTTGTCCAACGGCGATGAGTACGAGGGCAGCGTAATGCACATAAGCGGTCCCGTAATGCAACAGGTTGATTTTACTGGTGCTTGCGAACACCTGCAGCTTGTGCGATTCATAGCAACGTCTCCAGCAGTGTAACGTCAACAAGCTGAGAGTTAACACTGCTGCCAGTGCTGATACTGGAAATTAAGAACACCATAAAATGATCTTACGGTCGTATTCCACGAATAATTCTTTCCTCGATGTAATACGTAAACAGATAATACTAATTATAACTGTTTAAACACCTCACTGGTAAATTTAGTTAGGGTTGACGTTTCTTCGAATTGAACCCGAAATCTACGTGTTTGCACGGTGCATATTCGGACTATGGATTTAATAACAATGTATTTAGGCCAGAGTGCGCTGTGATTGAAGTCAGTTTTGTGTTTAAATTAAAAGTTGGCAGCCCTAATCGTGATCCTTGTAAGGAGGAAAGAAAACACCGGTCGTGAAACCGGTCAATCGAAGCCGGTTGTTAGGATCAAACTTTGACATTAGATTGATTTTTGTAAGTCAATTTGATTTCATTCAACACGATTTTCTATAGAACCGTTAAAATAGGCTAATAAAGTTGAGACTACATTTTTATGTCATCGTAATTGGTATTATTATTTCAGTAATCAAAAACAGCAACACAATAATGTTACTTTTGGAAGCGAAATAAGAAAGCAATGTCAGTTGGTATGCTTCCAAGAATTAAATCCAAGGTTTCTATGTTTTATAGATATGCTGTTTCGTCAAGTAAAGTGTAGGTTGCCGTCTGTTTTCCCTACAAAAAATATGTATATTTGTATTATAGTTTTATGTTCAGGTTACCTTTTGGTTCCGCGTCGTTGAAAATTCGCGCCATAATGAATTGCACAAATGCACTCGCTGGGAAATTTAAAAAATACACCGAGACCATATAAATTAATGTCAAAGCACTAAAAACAGCTGAGAACACGTAAAAATGTCTGTAATAAGACTTTGGCACTTCGATCGTTTTAAATAATTTCCCTTGTTTTCCCTTGTACGCGAAGCTACCGTATCTATATAATTTTATTAAAAATACTGGAACATGTTCCTCGTAGTTAGTTATAAGGCTGCCTACGATCACGAAACTTATCGTTAAATTCAAAAATATCACGTCCAAAATGTTTAACATTTTAAATTCGGGCGATGCAAAGATGTTGTTCTTTAAAAATTGCGCGGGCGAATGTGCAATGCAGCGAAAACGGTTCAGTTTTATTACATTACGTCGTTTAAAGAATTTTTCACTTCGTATAAATAATGCGAATTAATTTATATCGTATCTAAAAAAGTACTCTTGTCCTAAGTATCTGTCGCAAAGGAATAATAAAACAGAAATAAATAAATTATACTTACTAATATGACAAACGCGGAAGTTGGGATGGATGTTTTTTTTATGCCACGCGGGCGGATTCGGGGTCCAAAGCTAGTAATAAAATATTGTTAAGAGCAGCCAAGTAAGAACCTTAGTACAATTTTAAGAAAAATACGTATGATACCAAGCACAGCAATTAGGGTAACTATACTCTACAAGGTTTACCTAAGGCTTGAGAAAACTATCTTGAAATTAAACTTTGGAAATCTTCATTACTATTGTTTTTGTATTTCAACATGTTTTTATACAAGTGTTACAACAGTCTAAACTGTTACATAATGCGTAACACTTTAAAGGACATTGTTAGGACGTAATCGTGAAATAATGTAGCAGTCATCAAAAAAGTACCGTTATTGTACCTTTCTGGCGAAAGTGCAAAACCGGGACCAAGGTGTTATTAAAAAAGTTCGATGACCTCATGTATTTTACGGGCTGTAAATTCCAACGAGGTTGCCATTATCAATTATAATGATGTTTTTTTTCTTTTAGCAAGAAGGAAGTTAGTTATAAGTGTAGAGGGGTACAGCGGTAGCGTTAAACCAAGAAAGATATGGTTGGATTGCGTGAAAGGTGACATGATCAAGAAGGGAGTGATGACAGATGACTGATGATAGTTATTTGAAGGACAAAAACCCCGTGTGCCGATACTACGGAAGTGGGATAAGGGGATGATGATGTTTAGTTTTTTTTGGTTGGGTTACGGCGAATAGAGAATTGAAACATATTGATATAAGGGAAGAAGAAATTTTAAATCTTATCGGCCAGTTGGTTTGAACAATCTCTTTCAAAGATTCTTCGATGGTGTTGAACATAATAGCTATATTGGGTAAAGATCCTTTGCATTATTGCCTTAGCACATAGCAGTAGAAATGCTAGCATATTCGCTATAAAATCATCGCCTACGATTTATTTCCTGGAATTGTGTAATCAAGTTTGGACATTGAGAAGTGTAGGTAATGATTTTGTTTCTGCAGGCGCTTTTTATAACAAATAATACAAATAAAATTGTTATGAAAAAGTTTAGTTTAATTTCTAAATGGTTTACTATTAACGTTATCATAATAAAAAAAATACTTTTTAATAAATAATCTTTACTCTTTACTTATCCTAATCACAAGTCATATAACTAATTGTATAAATAAGCCTCTTTACATATAAATAATTACAAAATGTGTAATTTTAGTACGTAAAATAAATTCATTAAAATTACAATAAAGCTGGGAATATTGCAGCTCTGTTGGTGGGATAGTCTTGGAACGACTTTTTGTACCATTCATGAGCTTGGATTGCAGTTTGAATCTGAAAAAAAAAATTGATTACATTTTTATCTCCTTAGCCAAAAGAATATATTTTTAAACTTTACTGGTCTTTAAAATAAGCCTAACTCTTATTACAAATAATACTTATAAATACTTTAACAGTAGATACCATTTATTTGTTTGAAAAAAATCATGTTTTGGTGAAATTTAACTATTGTAAAAGATATTAAAATTAAAAAAATACAAACTCAACTAACCTGATTACTTAATACCCACAAATAAATACATAAGAAAGTCTTTGTTGGTATTAAAATGACTAGTACAGTGTACACAATAACTTCACACATTCTATGCGGACTGGAGACATGCTCAAACAATCTACCCTTAGGTATCTTGTGTTCTTCTGTTACCACTTTTCCTGTCTTCTTGTCTTTACGTAGATTCGCAAAGATTATATTACTCTTGTACTGCTCATAGCATGCCCAGAGGAAGATAAATATGCATGGGACTGAAAGAAGACTTGTTCGAGTGTCTGTCCAAATTATTTTTTCTCTATGTTGATGACCTGGAATAAAAGAAAATTTTTGACAATCTTGTAGAAAGAGATACCTTCTAAGAATATTTTGCAATGATATATGCTTTTTTTTTGGATTAATGTTACACCGTTTTTATTCATTTTTTTTCCTTTCTTTCTCTCCTCAGTTCTTATTCTGGGTATTACCGTTATAATTTTATTACTTTAAAATTAACAGATTTCAAACACTGTTAACAAATACATCTTTGTCCAACATGCTAAATTAATACTTGTACTTCAATAGGTATTGTATTTATCAAGGTTTTTACCTTTAAATACTTTTTAGCATATGATTTGTATGCAGAAATAGCAAGTGTTAGTTATTTAAATTCTATAAATGTACTGCAATGTATAAATAAATTACATAAAAATAAGTGTTACTGTATGTTCGCTAGATAATCTTTTGCAGCCACTAATAGAGATGTTATTGACTACTGAAGTGTCTTATTGTAGATGATCTACATTAAGCAAGTGTTTATTATACTAATTGTTGCTTGCGGCTTCATCCACATTAAATTATAAATTGTAAAAAATATAAGTTACTCAGCTATTGTTGTTTTTACATAAATTTTTATTAGTGATATTTTTTAAACCAACCTAGTATTTCTTGAGTTATTACAATACATACAAAAATACAAATCTCTCCTTGTAATATTAGTATATAGATAAATGACAGTAATACTTACCACAAAACAGTGGTGCCTGGCCCACAGCAGCTATGATACATGCAAAGTAATGTGCGATGCCGACTAGATAGTGACTGAGGTTCATTTTACTGGACTTTGCGAACACTTGCAAGCAGTATGTCTCATAGCAACGTCTTACACACTGCACTGATAGCAGGCCCAGAGCTATTAATGCTGCGGTTACACACACTGAAATAAACATTTAAATAAAATAATGCTTGAATGAGTGAAGATTTTACATATGTAAAACCAAATAGAGATGAATTGATAACCCCTTTCTTATGCGAAGTCAGTTAAAAAATGTACATTAAAGTTAAAATGGTACACATATGTAAGTGAATCTAATTACAACTGGTCCCTAAAAACATAGAATTAAGAAAAAACTAACATGTACCAGTAAAAGATAAGAGAAAAATATCTAGTCAGTCTTACAGATGTCGTAATTTATATTTTTCTAAACTAGAACTTTAATCAAGATTCAGTACACCTTTTCAGATATACATTATTACAAATATCCATACATCTAAACTTTCACAATCATAATATTAATAAGATATTAGTAAGACTGTTAATTCAAAAAATTAAATCACTTACCACCGGGTTCATCTTGCTCCAGAAGTATTCTAAGTACAAAAACAATGAAGGAACTAACGTTTACATTGAAAAAGTACACCAAAACAGTATAGAACAAAGTACTGACACAGAAAACTGAGGAAAATGAATAAAAGTGCCGGTAATATGCCTTAGGTATTTCTATCATTTGCAAATAATTCGCTCCAGAGCCCTTATACGCAAAACTGCCGTATCTGTACCCTTTGATAATAAAAACTGGAACATGTTTTTCAAAATTATTTATCAAAAATCCCATAAAAGTCACCATAAAGGCCAAGCCTAGGAAAACTAAATCTAATATATTCAACATAGTGGAAGATAAGCTATCAGCACTACGTTAACTCGTGATATTTCGAAGGCAAATGCAGTTTGAAAGTAAGTTTAGAACGGGACATAACGGTGTTAAACTCGCGAATACTAGGACAAGAACGTTTGTTCCACTTTTCTAAATAACACTAGTTTCTAATATAATCAAACCCACTTTAAGCCATTCACTTGTACGTGTGTTTAAGGTTCATTTTCTTACAAAAAAGATCGTATATTTTGACAACTGAGAATGACAACTATGAAGTAAACAAAGTCAATTCTTGACATTGAACTTGAGGACTTGAATTGCATTTTCATACTTCACATTGTGTGAAAATTTTGTAAAAAAATGCCCAAAAAGAAAGTCAAGTCTTAGGTAGGTAGGTAATATGGCAAACATTTAATATTTAACAAACTTGTTGTTGCCGCTTACGATGAACATTTACAATGTTTAGTAGGGGATGAAATAATTATGCAAAAAGTAACTTTTGCCATGATTTTGGGCACAGCAGCAAACCTAGCAACATTTTCGCAAAACGTCAAATTTTTAAAAATTTAAACTCAAAGCAGCCAGAAAATAGCGAGAAATAGTATTTTAGTATTAATAAGATAACGTTCTCGTGAGTATAGTAATAGTTTTTGTTTAATGATTTTGTATTTATTTCCAAATACAACGTTTAACTTCATTTAAATGGAAAGTGGCAAGTTGAGATGATTCACATTGGAAGTAATGATTAAAAGCTACTCTAGATGTCGCTGTTCGTTCATTTGATATCCTTGAAGATTTCCTTTTTAAAATTAAAGATGAGGTATATGATTATTATTCCTCAATCCAAACATTAATTGAAAGCGTTTACTTTTTTAATACACCATCAACATAAAATCTCTTTGGCTAAACATAAAGTATGATTTAGCATTTTCCAATAGCTTTTTTATTGTTCACTTACTTCCTCTAACACTGGCAATTGTTCTAATCCTTTGATGTACCCATATTTTCGCTCTGTTTATATCTATCATGGGAATATAAATGAAGCCCATTGTGAATAATATCGGTATTCAGAATACGGAAAACAAGCAAAAGCGGTTCAGTGGTATACATGATAGGGAGCATTGTTGCCAGGTTTTTCACATTAGGTACCTTTTATATTTAAGGATAAAAACTGTTACCAAAACATAGAAAAATGACATAAGAATTTTGATATTTATGTATGTTTCTGTAGACATTGATTTTCCGTTCAATTAACTAGGCATTTCGAGACCAAAAAAGTCTAAAATAGCAATTAATATAACAAACTGCTTTGCTATAAAAATGAAAAATCTAATAAAAACGCTATAGGAAGAAGACGTTTTGAATAAATTTCTATTGATTAATGTTTCCATGGTTTAATCTCCCCTAAGCGCTCGTCGGGGCGGAATGAGGTCACAAATGAAGTGTCAAGTCGAATGTAACGCCTCGCTTCATCTTATTTGACGGCTTAAGTGTGGCCCAGATTAAGTTTGCGACGTTGATGCTTTTGAGCATAAATATGAAAGGCTGTTTACCATAAAACAAATGTCTTTGGAGCCCTTGAAGAGAAAAGAAAATCATTTCTGATTTTTTATACATATTACAAGGTGGCAAACGAGTAAGCGGTCACCTGAATTTGCTAAGAAAGCAAAGCGATCTCTGCCCGTATACATCCGCAATTGCAGTCGCACATAAAAAAGGTTTTTTCTCTGCCTTTGCGTCTCCTCCACCGTTAAATCCACTTTCCCTTCCCATCCTTCCCGTAAGAGAAAATGATGGGAAAGAAAAAGACTAATATTTATTCCCCGGCACTGCACTCGTCAGAGAAAACGCGGAATTGCTTTCACTTCACGCCTGTCTTCTGTGTGGTCTTGGTATTGCACTTTGCATTGATTTGTTTTACTTCTATTGTTCTATGTATCGCAGCTACGAATTTTTTACCATCTTTATCAGGTGAATTTGTGAATCCATGGAATCATTTGATCCAATAGGAAACGAACCCATTGGATCGATTAATCTGCTATACCACTCTTTGCGACTCTTTTCAATATACATGTTTTATAGGAGAAATATCTGTTTCAAAACATCTTCAATAAAAAGATTAACTCCGAATTAAATATAATAATTATAACAAAGAGTTATAGATTAAGATAATGAATTCTAAAGCAAATACGGGGGCACGTCGCACGCCTCATTTAGCAATTACCAACACCCTCACTTGAGACGGATTTTAATATTTATAAGTGCTCGTGTGGAAGAGTATATAATGAAGAATTTCAACCCCTTTCATCACATTCACTCCAGGTGAGTCGACGAGGAGCTACCAAGAAAAACAAGGTGAGTTATGAATTATTGAATTACATTGTTAATACTGTTACATTACTTTGATAATCATTACAAATTACTGTGTAAAGCAAATTATAATTATCATCGTTACGTCACAAAATACATCAGCGTTAGCCTATGGTTTTCTCCAAAAAGTACCTATTACCTGTTACGTAATATACTTCTACATGCTACATTATACTGTACATCAGTTGGCAGCAAAGCATTCTTGACTGATGGCATCAGTCCCATCTACGATGAAGCCCTTGACTCATAGCCTTTTCTACTTCTTTTTTCCCAATAAGAAGTAGTTTTCACTAAACACTCATATCGAATTAGATTCTATGCTCAATACACAATCATCTCAGATCTGTGCTTTGTATTCCAGATGAAATTCATAATTTTCACCTTCGTAACTTGCCTGGTTCTGGCCACGTGCTACGCGCACATCGGCGGCGGCGCGGCGCTCCAGAACATCAGCCCACAAGTCTACTGTGGCAGATCTTTGGCCAGAGCTATGGCCTTCCTTTGCTTTGAGGAAGATGGCTTCGAAAAACGATCCGATATGGGAACCATGTATGGTAAGTTAAGAGTCTCGAATACCAGGGCACCAGTACCTTGACACAGTTTAATTTCAGTCAGAGAGTCGTCCATAGTTTCCTATATGACACTAATCTATGTGTTTCCAGGACAAATTCTGCCCCCGTATTACAAAGAGCAAGATGTCCAGATGGGTCTGCCGTGGGCTGGTCGGGCACGAAGCTTGTCCCTTGCGGGCCGTGGCAAGCGCACCCCCGGCATCGTCACCGAGTGCTGCGACAAACCCTGCAGCATCAACGAACTTCTCAGCTACTGCTAAATACCAAATTACTATTGCAACTTATTGTATATTATATAGGATTTCATTATAAAACATTACATCACACGCTTACACTATGTAACCAGCTGTTCATGTGTCATGTCATTTAGTAAGTAAAATAAAAAATGTACATTTTAACAATATTAAATCAATGGAAAGGATACTATAAGATATGCCACGGCTTTTATTACATTCCTGGGTAAATAGATAATTTTTAACACGCCTCATATTCTGTTTCACTTGAATATTAGGTGCGACGTTAAGTTAGGTCATATTTTGAAGTACTATCTTCCAAGATCTAAAAAATTGAAAAATATGGCGACTCATCATTAAATTTTTCTCAGCTTTAGATAATTTTCAAAGAATAAGTTAATACTAAAGTCATAAGTTAGCTACTATAAGATAGTTCTTTTTCCATTAAATTACTTAAAACATTCAAATCCCATCAATATCCCCAGTAAAATCCATAAAAAATCCGCTTAACATTATTTTAATCGCCCAAGTATAACTTGTAGGTTATATAAGTTGTTCATTTCTAGGCTACTTATTCTTGTTTAGTAAAACATTAAGCACTACGCTTATAATCATAAGTTTAAGTGAGAAAGTTTAAAAATGAAATGAGGCAATGTCTAGAAAAAACTAGCATCAAAAGAGATTTCACATAAATTAGAAATGAATATTCTCTCAATGTTGCCAAGAAACTAGAATAAAATATGAAGCTCCCGAGAGTTTACTGCAAGGAAAGCTAGGCTACAACAATTTACTCTAAATCCCGCAAAGTCTTTGTTAACATCAGTGCTTTGACGTTAATTAAAGCATCAACACGTAAGAATATTCTCCTTGTTTACGTCAATTACGCTGAAGGAATGCGTAATAAGTAGCGCCTCCCTACCATGATACACGACGATTTCTTTCGTTCGATCAAAAAATTTAACATCCATTGCCATTTGTATAGCAGCGTAGCTAGCAACTTGATACAAACCGAGTAATGGAAGATGTACTTTGAAATAAATTGGTGAGTTAAATATTAAATAAGTGCGATAGTTGAGTTAGGAAGGCGGTGTCAGTTGTTGGCATTCAAGTTACGATGCACTGTAGACTCTGGCCGTAACCAGGGGGCACGGATTTAGCATAAAGTTAGCGCTCGGAGTCGCGTTACAAACGAGCTTTTGGAACGCTGAGCTCACGGTTTTTTTTAATAAATAATTCAAAGAAGTCGAAACTTGGCTTAGAGTTGCTTAACGAATTGAATCCGAAAATTCTATAAGGTTTTGTATTACTTATTTTTTACTAAGTATATAAAATAAATGTAATATCATACTTATATCAAAATACCTAATAATGCTAATAACGTAAATGTTTATATGGATTTGTGTTACGGAAAAAAATATCTTATTTCTCTTAGAATTTTGAAACAAAATATTTCACTACCAACCTTATAAACTCTATTAGTTAGATCCTTTCTAGCTAGTTACCATTTCCATATAAATAAACAATCTTTTTAAACAGTAATTCATGCTGGTGTTTAGGTATGACTATTCAAGTTTTGTGTGCAGTGCATTGAATGCTCGCATTCGAGTCACGATGCTGCTAAAGTTTTACTCATTGCTCATTACAACATTCGTTTCAACTACTTTTTCGCTTATATGTGAGTTAGGATTTAGTTATTTTATTAACTGTTATGTTGTTACATAATTAGTATGTTAAGTTGAGAAATTAAAAGATAACTAGTAGTGCATACGAAAGTCGTTAGATCCGGAAGGCGAAGGAACGCATACTGTGGAAGGCAGTGGTCTAGACTTGTATCCAGCAGTGGGCAGACAAAGGCTGACGATGATGATGATGATGATAAACATAATGTCTTACAGTTTACCTAACTAAGTCAGAAGGTTCATGTTTTATTATTGTAATTCTTCTGTCTATGTAATATAATGTGTATTGTTCTTGTAAATATCATATGTGTAATATTCTGTTACATGAGTTAAATAAATTATTATTATTATTAATATTATTATTGTATAATATTTAGCCATACTGTTAGCGTATTAACTATTTTGATGTATTCTGTATCCTTGAAGGTTATTAGTCTGAGCTATAAATCAATACCATTTGTCATAATTTGAAATAACGATATAAGCTTTGTAATTGTGATCCAAAACATTATTAAAAATATTTATGTCATGGTTTTAAAATGTAATTGTGCTTGTTATGTTAATAATCGGATGTCAAAATAAGGGTGTTGCATTAGCTCGATGACACGACGGCCATATTGGTAAGGTTATTCTGTGCAAATTGGAAGAAAACATAAGAGGTAATGAAGACTATGTTTTATTAAAGCATAACATGGCTGTGACGCCCGCAATACTTTTGTAGTAAAGGAAATAAATATTAGTCTGTAGATTTAGAGCGGGCGCGCACTTTTAACTAAACTATCGCACAACTGCTGTGTGATTCTCGATTGTTTTGCAGCCAATTCAACTGTTTAGATGGATAACTAAAAATCGAGTAGTGTGCACACCTCAAAGATGTTCGCATGTTCTTAGGTAATATTAGAGATTTTATTTCATTTGTGTAAATCATATTAAGTTATCAAATCTTATCTTTCTTTATGGCGTTTCCTCTGGCGTTCCGTACCTGGGCATCGGATTAAATAATTAAGAAAATCCGATGACAGTTTTGCCGCTTTCTATAAGAGATTTTTACCATAATCATCTACAATCAATGTAGTTATGTATAAGAACTCAGTCAAATAACGACAGAGATTGTATTCCATATTGAATTTGGAATAACATGTCATTATACGACAGGGTCGTTATGAGGAAGTTTTAATAGGGTCTGCGCTCGGCTGTGGCGGCGCCACTCGTGCGAGCACTTTTAATGTGTGTTCAGCTTTGTGACTGGCAACCCTGAAGCCTCAAACACTGTTGCTTTGAATGGATGATAAGTAACTGTATATTTTGTAATAATCTTTAATGCATTCAGAGAATTCAAATTATCAAGCTGTTATATAATTTTACATGAATAACTTCTATTTTTGTTGTTATGTACCTTTTTAGTATTAACCGTAATATTTTAAAGACAAGATTTTTTTCGTTGAATTCGTCTAACCATAAACATTGATAAGAAAAAAAAATATCGCGGTAGGACATTTTTAAGACGAATAGGTAAATGTCGTCGGTGCTCGAGTCGAGTGGGGTCGATCCAACCGTAGGCTTACTCAAATTGCTAAGGGCTGTACAATTACCTGGCCTTTGCCGCAAAATTCTTACGCCCACTGACTAACTAAATAAGAGCTTTGCACAACCATTGGCTTTTTAGCAATCCTATTTTTTATGAGATTAAAAATTAATTTTCTTATTAATAAAGGAAAAGCCGATCGGATATTTACAAAAAATGCTTTATCAAGCCAATGCCCACAGAGGGATGTAAAGCTAAAGAATAAGAAAAATTAATTTCATAATTTAACAAGTAAAATATCTTAATGTTTATAACAGTTTTGTATAACCCTAACCTAGATATATCAGACGGTGTTCTATTTTCCTTCTTCTTTATTGTTCAAACTAAAATAGTTCCAAACTTATTAAATTAAAACCATTGAATGTTAATTTTCCTGTAGCTTTTAAATTTAATTGTACTCTGCCCGAAAATTCCATTAGTTTGAAGAACGACATCCATTTAAGTGTAAGTACAATAGGAACGGTCTTTCGTTTGTGTAGAAACATTTAGGAGCAAACACGAAAGGGGCGTTCCCAGGTGACGTCCTGTAACAAGACACGGTTGATAGCTGAGGGAACCGATTTGATGTTCTCCAGATTTTATTGATAAGTCCCTGGATTAGGATTAATGCTACTCTAATAGACGCGTTACTTCTATAAAGCTCGCTGCACACTTTCAGTTAAACACGTGTAAGGCGTAGCGAATCTAAATGTATCCCTATCGTAAAGTAAAGAATAAAAGAGCGATATTTAAGAAACAAATGGTCGTTGGTGATATTTTATAAACAATTTAAGCGCCAATAGCCTAATGGTTTGGGGTGCGGACTTCCGATCTTGCGGTCGAGGTTTCGAATTCCGCCATTCGACTATTGCCGTAAACCATATCCTAGCACAAGCCTAGAGCTTAGTTGGAATGGTTAAACCAAGTATTAAATAATAATCTACTAATATTTTTATTAAAAACAAATTACAGTCATTAAAAATAAAAGGGACAGGTTTGGATTGGTTACATTAAATGACTCCAAAACTCTTGAATGGGTTTTCAAAAATTCTTTCCCCTTATCTCGTCCTGTCGTAAGGTCGCGCCGCATCCTGTGTGGTAGTATCTATTAAATTTGATTTAATATCTATGTTCAAAGATTAATTATGTAGCGATAATATTATATACAAGAATTTAAAGCAAGTATACTGTTAAATAGTTTGCTTTCGTTAATCGAAGCTTCATGTTAACACTACGTCGAATATGATACAAGATATGTTTAATTACTGAAAATTAAACATGTGAATTAAGGATTTTGTGGAGAATAATTGATTCTCAGTGAAACTTATATATGTACAGTGTGGTTTGATTTTAATTTAGGTGACATGCGTTTAGTTTTGTGTTGTTATTGTATTAACATGTTATCTGTGATGTGAAAAGTTCATTTTAAATCACAGTTTTGTAATACATTTATAGTTAAAAGATAATTTACCCTGAGGTATTTCATTGTTAACGTTATCTGGTTCATGCAATATTCCTTTGGGATTCACTATATTTCAATTTGATAACGTATTAATTGTGCAAAATGATCAATGACGTATTACATTTATTTTAAACATAATTCGGACTATTTACTTTGTTGAACTGTAATACATAGTTATGAATGTAGAAACATAGACTACTATCTAGTAACGAATGTAGTGTAGTTTTGATGGGATGAATTTTTATTACGCACGGAGAAAGTCACGAGCAAAAGCTAGTAGTTAATAAAGAGTGATTTTTAAATTCCCTACGTCGAAAGCTAGTTGTAACTTAATGTTACATTACTTTTTTTTAATAATTTAAAAGTAACAGAACTTTAAAACGGTTTTCAGCGACTTAAACACGA